AACCCGCTGGAAAGGATTAAGTCCAAAGTCAATAGAGATCTTTTATTGCATCAGTGAAATATCAAATTGACTCCAGGACGTGTTTCTGTGACTGGACATCTGTAAAAAGAAATAAAAAAATATCTCCATCAGTTACCTTTGTCCATTAAAGTTGTAAATTATCATTAAATATATTGTGATATATTGTTCATAGTAAACTGTAAACTTAGAATTTACTGTGCTCCATTCTCTACCATTAATATAATTTCAATTTAAGTCTTCTTTCTTTTTGGAGAATGAGGAATGGAGCCTAGACATGTTGCTCATGCTCAGCAAGCTCTATTTAAGTCTCAGTATATTAAAAACCCATCTAAAGCAGTAATCAATCTTATAGACATTAGCAGGCATGATAGTGCTCACCTGTGATCCCAACTACTTAGAAGACAGAGGCAGGAGGATAACAAGTTCTAGGCCAGCCTAGGTAACTTAGCATAAATAGCTGGGGATATAACTTAATAGTGGAGCTCTTGCCTAGTATGTGCAAAGCCCTGAGTTTAATCCCTAGTAACACAAAACAAAAACAGACACTAAAGAACCTACCTCTTAGAGCTTATTCATCAGCCTGTTGAACTGTTCCTTTTTCAGAAACATAAATACCATCCAAAAATTTTCTGATATCCTTGTTTTTCACTGTTGTGGCTTGCTGAATTAAAGCGGCTATAGGAATAAAAAAAAAAGTCAATTATTTCATCTTAAAAAGCAATCAGGTACAGCACATTTTGGTTAACAATGAACCAAATATACAGCAATGATTCCATAAGGTAATAACAGAGACAAAAAATTTCCTACATCTAGTGAAACTGTACTAGTGAACACATCACTTACATTTGTTCTTGGTGATGCCAGCAAGAACAAACCTTTTTCACAAGTGTGAAAAATATTTATTGTGTTGCCTGTCAAAAGTATACAACACAATTATACATAGGATACTTGATAATCATAATAAACAACTACTTACTACACTTTTAAATCTAAATCTTCTATCTACTGAAAAAAGGTTATCAAACAATATACCATGTTTTGCTGGCAACTTGTGTATATACACTTTTCTACGTGGTCTCTTGACTGTACCAAGGACCATGTTCAGTGAACAATCTGTACCATCAAGTTTTGTGTACACTTTGTGGTGCTGAGGATCGAACCCGGGTCCCGCCCGTGCTAGGCGAGCGCTGAGCCACAATCCCAGCCCAGAGTCAACTTTTTATTTAAAATTTAAACAAGATTTTGCAGGCATAACTGGTATTGGGAACATACAAACCTGAATTTGAAACAAGTTCAATATCATTTCCTTCAAGGATTAATTCATCTTTCTGAGCTTGAGACACTGAACAAGCAACACCTGAAAAGGCAAAAAAGCATTTGCATCGTGTTAGAATAAACAAATACTTAAATCCCACTAGTAATTAACTCCATTTAAAATTCCATACAACAAACCAATTTTCTCTTGAGGTTTTTGCTTTATAGGATCTGGCTTATATCAGCCAAAATTTTAAAATTTGTGTTCTGGCTGGAATGAATCATAGTCAGACTCAGAGACTCGACAGTACAACTTAGTCGGCTCTATACCAATCTAGGAATAGTAGTTCACACTTGTTATCCTAATAATTTGGGAGGCTTTGAGACTAGCCCAGCAACTTAGAGAGACCCTGTCTCAAAATAAAAAGGACTAGGGATGTAGCTTAGTGGTGGGTTACACACCCCTGGGTTCAATTCCTGCACCAAAAACAAAGTTCTGTACCAACTCTTTGTACATATTTATTATCCCTGAAAGTTTATTTTTTACATGGGGATTCTCATTAAATGTTGCAGAAAACAGCTATTACATAGAAATTGGCACCAAGATCTCCTTTCTTTCCCTTCTTCCCTACCCTAACCAAGAGCACACTGGGGGGTGGGGTGGGGGCCTGGGGATGTGGCTCAAGCAATAGCGCGCTCGCCTAGCATGCGTGCGGCCTGGGTTCGATCCTCAGCACCACATACAAACAAAGATGTTGTGTCTGCCGAGAACTAAAAAATAAATATATAAAAAGGGCACACTGGGGGGGGGGATGCATAAAACTAAAGGTTCAGTGTTTACTCTGTATTAGACAAGCACTATTTTGAATGCTTTTAAATTTTAAACTCATTTGGTCATAATATAGTTCCCACTAAACAGATGAGTACAATAAGCTACAGAGAAACAAAATGCTCCAAGCAAGAATTGAAATTTAAACCTAGGCAGAATGTAGGCTAATAACTAAGATATTTTTGGAATCTGAGAGTTTTTATCACCAAAAAATAGGAGATGAACATGTTAAATATCCTAATTTGATCATTCTACTTATGCATATGTCCATCAAAACATCACAATGCAGCCAGATATGGTGGCACTTGCCTGTAATCCCAGAAATTTGGGAGACAGAGGCAGGAGGATCACAAGTTCAAAGCTATCCTTAGAGCAATATATCCTTAGACAATTCTGAAATACTTATAGTCACACCAACCCAAAAAACCAGGCTTCAAAAGACTTACAATTTCTGAATCATATCTGAGGTCACATACAACATACCTGTCCTCATCCGAACCCTGCGGATATATTTTTCACCCAAGAAATTTCGGATTTCAACGAGAGACCCATTCTCCTGAATAACAACGTTGATGGGGAAGTGAGCATACACAGACCTCATCTTGTAACGGAAGCCCTAGTTAAAAGAAATTCACTTTAAAATTTAGTAGGATGTTTATGTTACTTATAATTTAAAAACTTAACAGTTCCCATATTGCATTCATTGTCAAGGTTTCCTACTAACACCTATACTAACCCTCCGACAACATTTTTATTACTGGTACACTACAGGTACACAATTTCATGTCTCCTCACTGGACAGCAAAACTTCTTAAAGCAGCACTTATTTTGTTACCTTTATGCCCACAGTAAACAATGCTAACACCTTTTAATGAGAACCCCCCCAAATCCCACATTTTCAGACTAACATTTACTGAGACTAATGGCAGAATTGAGAATATCAAGTATGACAGGGCTTCTACCTTCAAGGAACTTAGTCTGGAATCAGGGATACGCAGTAGAAACATTTAATAGGTCCATAATAGAGGTTAAGCGCAGGATTCCCTTATTAGGTATAGTCTAGAGGGACCAGGTTTTAATGCATACACACAAGTCAACACAAACTTTACTTTAGGGGTGGGAGACTTGAAATCAATAGTGACATCAAACATGCATTTAGGGAAACAGGCAGGGTTGTAGGGTCCTAATGGTGGCTTACCATTAAGTAAGCAAAGCCTATCTATGTGCTATGGTATAGCAGATTTTCTATTAATAATAAGCACCAGCACTACAGTCAAAAAAGTTCCACACCCTCAGCCTACTCTTATGGATAATCCATTCCTGGCCACAGACATGTCTCTCTCTCTATATATAATAAACACACACACACACATATATAATACAGCTTAGAAAACTTTCAAAAGTAAAATAAAAGAGTAGGGGGAATGTCTTTATCAGTCAGCTTACCAGTGTAACACCCTTGATCATGTTCTGTACATGACTACAGATGGTGCGAACAGTGGCCAGTTCCTTTCTATTTCCCCACCATTTGTCAACACGTAGCTGTAACACAACAAAAACTTCCCATAAATAAGTAGGCTTGAAGGAGAACAGTTCATTTTTTTTTTCCAATGAATTACTCTAGATTCTAGAATTAGCCCCAATTAAAGCATAGGATTTTCAACTGGGAAAATCCAACCACAAACAAAGTCTCCTACATTTGACAAATGTTTTTATTGCTGTACACCAAAGGTACTCAGATTCACGTTGAAAACTCCCAAACAAGTCGCAACAAACTTTACCACTGGAAAATAAAATCAAGTCCAAAAAAATCCCCATTACTGGTTTAAATTCTTACTTTTTAAGCAATCACATAAATAAATTTAACTTGTATTAGTATTAAAACCGCTTTGAGAATGACTACTAGATATTGAGCTTTACAGTATATTGTATTCAGAATCTGATATTCCAACCTCATTAAAGCAAAATTTATTTTGGATGCTAAACTTAAAAGCCAAACGTTGCTCAATTGGGAAACTTTACAAGCAACCAAATTTAATGCTATTATAGATAACTACCATCCGAACGAGCAACATAAGTTATCTACACCTTACCCTCTTCTTTTTCTTTCCAAGGAGGCTGAGTTCCACATTGATATGATTGAAATCCCTCCGGAGGGTTCCTCTTGGGCCCTTCACAATAACTGTGCGTCCCTTCAGAGTAATGTCGACTACGAGAGAGAATGAATTCTGAGATTACAGAAGGCTTAGAACACGTAGTAAACACCCATCAGAAAAACCGCAAGTTCCGTACCATTTTCTGGAATGTCGACAGTCTGATTGCTGAGAATGGTCTTCATTCTGAAACACAAACACTTGGAGTCAGGCCATTGCAGGGAGTGTTTTCGCCAGAGTTCCACTCCCACAGGAAAGTGCCGGGAGACGTGGGAGGATATGACCCAAACTAAGAGTGGCCTCCGGTGCGTCCGGGGCTGGTAGGTGCAGCCCCCAAAGAGGTGTTACGAAGCCTTGCTGGCTAACACACTGTCGGCCCAACCCTGGAATCCCAGCCCGGCGCGCCATCCCGGTAAGGCAGAGCGGTAGGGTTAGGCCTAAAGCCCCAATACAGAACTCGCATCTCGCGCCAGCAGATCCACACGGCACTCGCCGCGCCGGGAGACAATCAGGGTAAAAGCTGAGAGCGCAAAACCCATGCTGTTAGCTTTCCTAGAGCCGATGGCTTCAGATTCCCAGGGCCCACAGAAATCACTATCCTCCTCACCTCGCAGTAGATACGGGAAAGAGAAAGCGTCTTTCGTCATCACGTATTTGAAGCCCGTAAGGACTCTGCGTATTGCGTAATGAGTGCGCGACGCCACTAAGACTAAAGCAGCCAATTGCGGAACAGTTCAAGCTACACGGGCTTAGGGGTAGTTCTGGTGATTGTCATAAGCCGAGCGACGGTTTATCGGTCAGTCTTTTCCCTGGCATTGGTGTAATCCCTCGACCCTACTAGGTCTAAAGAGGCGATGTCTCTACGCGGCGGGGACGCTGCTCGCACCCTGGGGCTCCGGGTGAGCAGCGGGGCGACAAGCGTGCAGGCGTGGGGTGAGGGGTTCCCTTCTCTTCGGAGCACTCCGTAATGAAGGCCAACGCTTTTGCTTGAAGCCAGGCACTTTTCAAAACGTTTATTGTATTATCTCGTTTAATTCTCCTGACATCCCCATGAAGTAGTCCCTGATCTTGTTTTGTTTGAAGGTCTCTCTGGGTCGGTGATGATGGATTTTGGTTTTGTCTTTTTTTTTTTTTTTTCCCTGCTTAGAGTGGTTTGTTCCTTATATTTAAAGGACCACAACAGGGCTCAACCCACATCGTTGGGCTCTTCCTGTATATTAGACACCACTCTTGCAGCTGAGAACACAGCCTGCCCTCTGGGCTAAAGCTGTAGACGTGGATAAGTGCACTACCAATCATGCAGTGCTCTAACAGATATTTTTTTTCTTTTGAGCTATTGAAGATCCCTTTAATTTTACAGTGTTTTGCCTGTCTCGTGCATGTTTGTATTCAGATCTAGAAGTCAAATACTGTGGTTTCTTACACTCAAATGCGCAGTGGTTAACTGCCAGGGCTGTTTTCTGCCGCACAGAAACAGGGCTGGGGACTGTAGTTTAAAGGGAAAGTGAGTCCTTCGCAAGTGTGAGTGCTGGGTAATTCAATTCCAGCATCACCCAAACAAACAAAAACCAAGACACCAGCATAAACTAGTGCGAGAGGCTGGTGGGCTTAGGTTTGGTTTTACTACTTCCTGTTTTCTGGAACCAACTAGATATTAGCACTACATTTTAACATGTTTACTTTACCCCAAACACAAAGCTAGAGAGATTTATTGCAAATTTCCTTTTAAACATATCTGACTCAAGTCAGGAATAGAAAATGTATAGCCCTGGCATCTTCAGTTACTGCAGTTTAAGTTTGTTGAAAGACGAAGTTTTAGTACTGTTAAGAAGGGTAGTGAACCTGGCCACCTTAGCCCACCCTTGTAATGTCAACTATTTGAGAGGATACCAAGTTCAAGGTCAGACTCAGCAATTTAGCAAGACCCTGTCTCAAAATATAAAGTAAAAAGGGCATAAAAGTGTGATCTATGATAGATACTTCCAAAGGTTTTTAAATCTATTCTAAACTTGGTATTCAGAAGTTCATTCCTATTCTTTGGGTTTGTTTCCTTCTAGATTCTTCTTTAATCTTAGATTCCAATCTTGTAAGCAGTAAACCACTTGATATAATTTCTGCATCACTTCTTTGCTTTTACCCTCCCTTCCTTTTAGATTTGTTCTATTGTGGGGTTTTTTGTTGTTGTTGTTTTTGTGTTATTGGGGATGAAACCCCGGGGGTGGGGGGAGCACTCTTCCACTGAACTATATCCCCAGTCCTTTTTAATTTTTATTTTGAGATGAGGTCTCACCAGATTGTCCAAGCTGGCCTCAAATTCAAAGTTCTCCTGCCTCATTCTCCCTAGTCTCTAAGAGTACAGGCATACACCATAGCACCAGGTATCTTTTAGATATTATAATGGGTTAAAACTAAATTATCCCAGAACCCACTAAATGAATGTCATAATGAACTCTTTCTTTAGGTATTTGGAAGATATTTATACAGTCCAATCAGGTCATTAAGTTCCTTGCCAGATAAAAAAAAAGAATTTTTACAGAATGGACCAGATCTTCAAGATTTTGTGTCTGGGGATCTTGCAGACAAGAGCACCTGGGAGGAATATAAAGGAAACTTAAAACGCCAGAAAGGAGAAAGGTAACTGAGAATTTGAGATAATTTCAATGTCCCATTCCTTACTGTGCATTATTTTCAGATGTAACCAAGTCCTAGGGTATATTTTTAATTTCAGGCTTGTTTAATTTAGTGAAAGGTCATTAGAAAAAAGAGAGAACATGTAAGTTGATGAGAATGCTGAAATCTTTTCGTGATTTTCTGTTTTGTTTTAAATTAGGGATTGAACTCAGTGGTGCTTAACCCCTGCCCCCCCCCCTTTTTTTTATTTCAGAGAGCTATACCCTCTGCCCCTTTTGGTTTTTATTTCAAGACAGGGTCTCAATAAATTGCTTATGGCCTAGCTGAGGCTGGTCTACAACTTAGGATCCTTCTGCCTCAGCCTCTTGAGCTGCTGCTGGGATTATAGGCGTGCACCACCACACCCATCTAGACCTTGATAAAATTTTCATTATTAGTGGGTATTGATGATCTAACTGCTCCCAGTCAATTTACATAAGATCTATGTATATCTTGCCTTAACTAATTAATTTCCTATTTTCCCCCTCCCTTGCTGTAATTTAAAAGAATAATGAGAATTTAATGCAGATGGCAAATTGTTTTGAAAAATATTTATCCAACAACTTCCAGATCATAAGTGAGTACAGTCATGGTGAAACCAAGTATACTTAATTCCATTTCAAATATTAGAATTTTGCCATTTAATCACCACCATAAAATCAAGAATATAAGCTGATACTGCACAGTTGGCATCTCTGCTTACTGTGAATTAATATTACTTTGGGTAACCAGGCGAGGTGATGCACACCTGTAATCCCAGCAGCTTGGGAGCCTGAGGCAGGAGAATTGCAAGTTCAAAGCCAGGCTTGGCAATTTATGGAGCCCCTAAGTAACTCAGTGAGATCTTGTCTCTAAAATAAAAAGGACCAGAAGAAATTATACTCCATTACATATGATATATCAAAGTACATTCTACTGTTATGTACAACTAATTAAAACAAATTTAAAAATTTAAAAAATATATAAAAAGGTCTGTTAGATTCCAATATCAGTGTTTTCTAATGTGATTTGAGGAATCCTAAATTTGAATCTTTGTTCTTATGCCCACAGCAGAAATTAATAAGGGTTAATCCAGGATTATGGAAAAAAATTTAACTAAGAATTATAATAGAACAAAGTAACTTCAAGGATGTGTGATTACTTGTTTGCCTGTTTGTTAATGGATAGTTATCTTTGACTTTCCTTAGGTTAAGACTACCTCCATGGCTAAAGACAGAGATTCCCATGGGGAAAAATTACAATAAACTGAAAAATACTTTGCGAAATTTAAATCTCCATACAGTAAGTTGTCAATCTTAATCCATGGTTATAAATGTTCATACATATTTATAACTTAGAAATTATTAATTCATATATAAATACAGCAAGGAAAATGAATGAAAAACGTTAAGTGATGCATTATTACCAATGTTAAAAATACATTGGAGATAGGTATGGCTCAATGGTAGAGTATTTGCCTACCATATGCAAGGCCCTGGATTCAATCCTCAACATTAGGGTGGGGGGAATTATTTAGAGGCTGAGGCTGTAGCTCACTGATAGAGTGCTTGCCTAGGCATTTTTGAGGCTCTGGGTATCCATCCCCATCACTGCCCAAAGCAAACAAATAAAAATCATTTAAAATAATTATTCCTGCAAAAGAAATAAAGGGTGATTATATTAATGTCTCATTTAATAGTACAAAACAAGATTTTCCCCTGCAACTAGAGAAACAAAGGTTTTTGTTTTGTTTTGAGACAAATAAAAATTGTTCCCAGGCTAGCCTCAGACTCCTAGACTCAAATAGTCCTCCCACCTAAGCCTTCCAAGTGGCTGTGACTACAGGTACATGCCACTGTACCCAGCTTGGTGTTTTTGTTTTTTTGTTACTGGGAATTGAACCCAGGGTTGTTTACTGAGCCACATCCACAGCTGTAGGTGGACACAATACCTATATTTTATTTGTTTATTTTTTATGCGGTGCCAGGGATTGAACTCAGTGCCTCATGCATGCTAGTCAAGTGCTTTACCACTGAGCCACAACCCTGGCCCCACAGCCCTTTTTTTATGTTTTATTTTGAGACAGGGTCTCGCTAAGTCCTTAGGGCCTTGCTAAGTTGCTGAGGCTAGCCTTGAACTTCCAATCCTCCTGCCTCAGCCTCCTGAGTTGCTGGGATTTAGGCTTGTGTCACCACACCCAGCTTGTATCCAGCCTGTTGGTTTTATAATAGAAATTATATTGGAAAGAGTATAAAATTAAAATGTTGGAAAGAGTATAAAATTAAATATGAAAAATCTCAACTATTAACCACACCCCTTAACTGTTTAATGTATATCATTTTAGACCGATTTCTTTTTTTTGGTACTGGGGATTGAACTCAGGCGCACTTGGCCACTGAGCCACATCCCCAGCCCTTTTTTGTATTTTATTTAGAGACAGGGTCTCACTGAGTTGCTTAGCACCTCGCCGTTGCTGTGGCTGGCTTTGAACTCGTGATCCTTCTGCCTCAGTCTCCCTAGCCACTGGGATTACAAGAGTGCGCCACCATGCATGACTCAGACCAATTTCTTTAAACATATAAAATATTTATATTTGTATACTTTTCAATTTAAAAATGAGATCTTAATATATGATTTGGCAGAATTTTTTTTTTTTTTAGGTGTAGATGGACATAACACAATGCCTTTATTTTTATGTGGTGCTGAGGATCGAACCCGGGTCCCATCCATGCTAGTCTACCACTGAGCCACAATTCCAGCCCCTTAACAGAATTTTTGAATAGTGAATTTAAAAAGAAATATGTTGTAAACAATGGGTGCCTCAATACTGAACCAGTATTTGTTCAACTGGTTGGTAGTTTCAACCTGATTGTATTCTGTTCCCTTTTACTTACAGGTATGTGAGGAAGCTCGATGTCCCAATATTGGAGAGTGTTGGGGAGGTGGAGAATATGCCACTGCCACAGCCACAATCATGGTAAGACAAGCTCAACCTTTGAAACTTTAGTCTAGAAATGGAAACGGGATATTTTGTGTCCTCAGTAAAAAGCAATTATGAAAGAGTCATCTGTCTACTTGACTTAAATTATAACATCTCTATTCTAGTTAATGGGTGACACGTGTACAAGAGGTTGCAGATTTTGTTCAGTTAAGACTGCAAGAAATCCACCTCCCCTGGATACCAGTGAGCCCTACAATACTGCAAAGGCAATTGCAGAGTGGGGTCTGGATTATGTTGTGCTGACATCTGTGGATCGAGATGGTTAGTGTGTCATCATGGTGTCTAAAGATATTGACTTTCTAAATGGTGACATTATCCTGAGCAGATTATTTTCTTTCTAGATATACCTGATGGGGGAGCTGAGCACATTGCAAAGACTGTATCATACCTTAAGGAAAGGTACTTGTTTCTGCATTTATTTGTGTATTTTAAGGACTTTTTTTGGAGTTATATAAATTAGTTTAAAGCCTTCACCTAACAGTGGTTATTAGGGGTTATTAGGGCTGGGGTTGTAGCTCAGTGGTAGAGTGCTTGCCTTGCACATGTGAGGAACTGAGTTCGATCCTCAGCACCACATAAAGATAAATAAATAAAATAAATCTACAACTAAAAATTTTTTAAAAAACCACCAGTGGTTATTAACCTTTTGGAGGATTTTATACCCTTTTGATAATCTACTGAAAAGTATGTGACCATTTCTCCAGAAAAGGTATATTGGTGCTGGATGTGATGGCACACGCCTGTAATCCAAATGGCTTGGTAGGCTAAGACGAGGATTTCGAGTTCAAAGCCAGCCTCAACAATGGTAAGGGGCTAAAGCAACTCAGTGAGATGTGGCTCAGTGGTTGAGTGCCCCTGAATTCAATCCCCGACACCTGCCCCCCCAGCCAAATAAAGTATATTGGTGCTTACATATACATATTTACTGGACATTTTAGGGGTTCATATTTGAGCATTAGTATGAATGTTAAGTGATACTCTTTAAAAAGTATTAAGCTGTGGTCTTCTGAGCACTGACTTTGAATTAATAATCATTTAAAAATAGTTAGGGATGTTGGGCATGGGGGCGCACACCTGTAATCCCAGTGACCTTAGAGGTTGAGTCAAGAGAATTGCAAGTTCAAAGGCAGCCTCACCAACTTAGTGATGCCCTAGGTAACTTAACAAGACCCTGTTTGAAAATTTTTAAAAAAGGCCAGGTATGTGGCTCAATGATGAAGTGTCCCTGGGTTCAATCCCCCGTACCAAAAAATAAAAAAGCACTGAAAAGGAACTCTGATCATTTCCTATAACTCAGTGCTTATCTAGCATCTAGCATACTTAATGTTTTTCTAATGATTCCCCAGTATTTTCTATTTTACATCTATTAGAGTTTCTTTTTTAAAATATTTGTGGTTGGGCACAGTGTCATATGCCTCCAATCCCCACAACTTGAGAGTCTTTTTTTTTTTTAATTGATTTTATTATTTTTTTTTAAATACACGACATCAGTGGAACTTGGGAGTCTTGAGGCAACAGGATCACAGGCTCAGAGCTGACCTCCATAACTTAGTAAGACCCTGTCTCAAACTAAAAAATAAAAAGGGCTAAGGATGTAACTCAGTGATAAAGCACCCTTGGATTTAATCCCCAATACCAAAATAATTGTTTAAATTCTTTTGAATAAAAATATGTTTGCAACCCACTAAATTTCTTCCTCAAGCCACTAATGGGTCTCAACTTGAAGTTTAAAAACAGTGAGTTCTAGGGGCTGGGATGTGGCTCAAGCGGTAGCGCGCTCGCCTAGCATGCGTGCGGCCCGGGTTTGATCCTCAGCAGCACCACATACCAACAAAGATGTGTCCGCCGAGAAAAAAATAAATAAATGTTAAAATTCTCTCTCTAAAAAAAAAAAACAGTGAATTCTGGGATATATTCTTTCAACATTTCTGTATTCATGAGAGGGTATATGTGTGGTCTTTTTTTTTTTAATCTGTTCTTTCAGGGAACAATTCCAGACACTTTGCCATTGGGTTCATGAAAAAATTTGTCAGCTGTCTGAATCATTTCTGCTAGTGTCAAAGGAAACAGCTCTGTGACCTAGTTCACATTATAATGCTTGAATGAATAGACATAGCCACAGTATAAATAGGAAGATTAATGTTTAGCTTGTTCTTCATTTAAGCAAAACTCAAGTCACAGCAACCCAGAAAATAGTTTTTAAAATCTATAGCATTTGTGAAATGTTTGCCTAGAGGAAGATGGGAAGACACTATTTGATAAATTATAGAAGATAGAATTGAATCAATCAAGTAATATTTGTGTTCACATAAGAAATATCCTAATTTTCTTTCCAAACAAGAAAATATATTTAATGTTTTAATATTTCATATTTTATTTTTTAAAAATTTACTTAAATTAGGTTTGAAAGTCTTATCTAATCTCAAGGTTATTTTTAATATATTTTTTTTAGTTTTTTTTTTTTTTTAGGTGGACACAATATATTTATTTTGTTTTTATGTGGTGCTGAGGATTGAGCCCAGTGCCTCATGCATGCCAGGCGAGTATGCTACCACTTGAGCCACAATCCCAGCCCTAATCTCAAGTTTTATTCTGATTATTATTTGCATGAAGGTGTATTTTAACCATTATGAACATAATATTTGATGTTCTGGATATTTTTTTTCTTCATATGATAGCTCATATATGGACATTTGTATGTCCATGCTTTTTTTTAGCCAAGTTCTGAATATTACTATGTTGAAACTGATACTGGATAAGTATTGATAATTCATCTTGAGTAATAATTATTTCATTTCTTTTCCTCAGTTTGATATTTATCTTTTTCTCTCCTAGGAATCCAAAAATTCTTGTGGAATGCCTCACCCCTGATTTCCGAGGAGATCTTAAAGCAATAGAAAAAGTTGCACTGTCAGGATTAGATGTGTATGCACATAATGTAGAAACAGTTCCAGAATTACAGAGGTGATTACATGTACTGAGTAATGTGGGAGAGTTATGAGGATCGGAATATGTTTATATTCTCACTTTTCAGGAGCCAACTTGCAGTTGATGTTTACAAAATAAACTTTCCTTCCCTCCCTCCCTCCCTTCAGTCTTCCTTTACTCCCTCCCTACCTACTACCTTCCTCTACTACCTCTTTGTTACAGAAAGATCAGAAAATAAAGCCAACAAAAACAGCATAAGCTGTTTTAATAATATTTTAATAATATTAAAATAAGCTGTTAAATTTAATAATATTTCCTCCCAGTAATATCAGTTACTATCAACTTAGTATTTATATTTACATGTTTCGTTTGTTTGTTGTTTACAGTACTGTAGATTGAATCCAGGGGTGCTCCACCACTGAGCTACATCCACAGCCCTTTTTTATTTTGAGATAGGGATTTGCTAAATTGCTGAAGCTGGCCTTGAGCTTGTGATCCTTCTACCTCAGTCTCCCAGGTAGCTTGAATTATAGGTATACACCACTGCACACATGTAATTTTTGATATATGCGCTCATAATAAGCATATTTTTTTAAAAGTACTATCATTTTGCAAATGCCAATGAGTATTACTCTTTTCAAAGAAGAATTTTCAAATGGAAAATAACTACACTAGAGCAACTGCCTTGGCTGTAATTCTAAAGAAAATACTTAAAAGTACATTTGAGGGACTGGGGAATGTAACCCAGTGGTATAGTGCTTGCCTAGCATATACAAAGCCCTGGGTTCAATCCCCAGCATTGGGAAAATTAAAAAGCCACTAATTCACATAGTAAATAAATAATGCAGCAGATAATGTGGTATTGTTCAGATGTACTTTAATTCTCTCTTTTTTTAAGCTATTTTGCTATAGATGGACACAATTATTTTTATGTGGTACTGAGGATTGAACCCATTGCCTCACATGTGCCCAGCAAGCATTCTACTACTGAGCCATAACCCCAGCCCTACTTTAATTCTCTTTTAAAATATAAACACTATTCTTCTTTACTTTTTTTTTTAGAGATAGAGAATTTTTTTTTAATATTTATTTTTTAGTTTTCGGTGGACACAACATCTTTGTTTGTATATGGTGCTGAGGATCGAACCCGGGCCGCATGCATGTCAGGCGAGCACACTACCGCTTGAGCCACATCCCTAGCCCATCTTCTTTACTCTTCCTAGTTAATTTTAGTTGTTAGTACTAATTAAGAAATGTTCCACATAATGACTATATTCAAATTTCAGAAAAATTAAAATTATTTTAAACCTCAAGAAAAATTAATATTGTTCATTTTCTTTACCTTAAGTGTTGGCTGTGATTTTATTAGCTTTGTATATTATTTGATATCATAGAACCTAAAAGAAGTTATAGTAAGCTGAGCATGGTGGTGTCCCTGTAATTGTAGCAACCCAGGATCCTGAAAGAGGAGAATCACAAGTTTGAGGCCAGCCTGGGCATATTACCAAGACCCTCAGACTCTGTCTCAAAATTTTAAAAAAGGACCTGGAATGTAGGTCAGTGATAGAACACCCCTGGATTCAATCCCCTGTACCACAAAAACAAAATAAAACCCAAATAAATTCTAGAAAAGAAAGCTACATTCGAATTCAAACGAATGCTGGTTTAACATCAGCAACTTTCTGACCTTTTGGCATTCTTGACATTTAAACTAGGATGGTGAGGCCATTGTTGAAGTCTAGCACAGTTTATATCAACCCTGTCATGATACTGCCAGCAGTGGGTGCCAGTTCCCTAGTTTCTCTTAAGAAACATTATCCTTTCCAGTGAAAATTCCAGAATCGTACATTTCTTTACCTAAGAGATGGCAATGTTGTGTACTTACCAGCAGAGGGCAGCTTAGTCTTTAGAAAAGAAATGAACATAAAAGTTTCAACCTTCTGAAATGTGGTTTCAGGTTAGTTTTTTCTTTGTTCATTGCCAAAATTGTTTTACTTCTGTTCATCTTCTTTTCTTTTGACTGTCTCTTACAATTATTATAATCTTGAGCTTCAGAATTCTGATTTCTCAACGCATAAAACTAAAGCAATTTCTTCTGTGTTTTTAGTTTTCTCTGCCCTGGGCTTGAGAAGCCTTAAGTTAACAGAGGTAGAGAGCCCACTGAGGCCTTTTTTTCTTTCCTAGGTTATCAGACTTTTGTATACAGATGTTACCATTGAACCATATAATGTAATATCATGTTCAGAATGTGCTTTCCTGGTCTTCCAGTTTGCTTGCATAACTATGTATTTGGTTGAACTTGTGGTTATTCTTGCTGACAACAGCACTACTGTTTTCCAGGAAAGTTCGTGATCCCAGGGCCAATTTTGACCAGTCTCTACGTGTACTGAAACATGCCAAGGAGGTTCAGCCTGATCTTATTTCTAAAACATCAATAATGTTGGGTTTAGGTGAGAATGATGAGCAAGTATATGCAACAATGAAAGGTAAAGAAATTTAAAAATAAAAAACTTTCCTGTTTGAGTAATAGCAAGAACCCCACTTTGAGGCTTGTTCAATTTATGTTTCTTCTATAGTCTCAATGCAAATGCCAGTAAGAACTAAGTATGTGTGATTGCAAGTGTAGCTCACATTGTATACATGTGGGTAACACCCACTCTCAACCTCTGAAGCTGTTAGGATTACAGGCCCTGGATTTAACCCATAGTGCACATATGATGTAAACAGCAATATGAAAAGGAAAATGTTTTCTTAGTATTTCATGGAATTATATGTATAAAGGTCGAGATATGAAGTCATGTCCCATTTCATTCCTCACCCATTCATCCAATGAACACATGGGTTTTTGGTTGTTTTTTTGGAGGGGGTATTGGGGATTGACCCAGGAGTGCTTAACCATTGAGCCACATCCCCATCCCTTTTTTATATTTTACTTAGAGATAGGGTCTCACTGAGTTGAGAGGGTCTCGCCAAGTTGCTGAGGCTGGCTTTAAACTCACAATCCTCCACTCTCAACCTCTCAAGTTGTTGGGATTATTGGTGTGCACCACCATGCTTAGCCCCTATTTTTTATTCTGTCAGACAGTTTTTGAGAGCCAGTCATGTACCATACACTGACAATTCGTAGAATAAGACCAACCTAGGCCTTTGAGAAGAGCTTACTTGTAATATTGTCATAAAACATGCTGGGCTTTGGAATTTGTGAACCTTACTCTCCCATAAGCCTTTGTGATTCTTGGCCTTTTTAAACTTTGAAATATAAAAGTTGTTATTTTTCCCTGAGTCTTTGGCCTACTTGTAGTCATTCAGTGGTTCAAAAAATAATAAGTTCATATAGTAATTAAAAGCTGCTTTTTATCACAATACATACAGTTTATTTACTAAAAGTTTTCTAATAATATCAGAGGTCAAATCATATCCTCAAGAGCATATCTTAAAAATTGAGTAAAAGCCTAATGCAGGATGTTTGGTCTGTAATATGGGTGTTTTCAGGATTTTGCATGTTCTGTTTCCTTTACCTTTTCTGCATAACAGACTTCTGCTCTAAAACACCCTCCACTCCTATTTTAGTATTTAATCCATAGTATTAAAGTCATTTGTTTTTATATCTATCAGCCCCATATGATGATCTTAATTATTCCTATGCTTTCAGTCCTTATGGTTCCTGACATATAAATATTTTTCTTTTCTTTTTATTTTTTTTTTAAGTATTTATTTTTTAGTTCTCGGCAGACACAACATCTTTGTTGGTATATGGTGCTGAGGATCGAACCTGGGCCGCACGCATGCCAGGCGAGCGCGCTACCGTTTGAGCCACATCCCCAGCCCATAAATATTTTTCAATGAATAGGTATCTGTTTGCCATCATGAGGATTATGGACTAGCACAGTATTCAAACTGTTTTGAGATACTCCTCAGGAAAATTATACTTAGATCTATAATTTTAATATTGTAAAACATCTGCTAATATAATGCAAACTTTTTTTTTTTTTTTTTTTTCTTTCCCTGTAGCGCTCCGTGAAGCAGATGTAGACTGTTTAACTTTAGGACAATATATGCAGCCAACGAAGCGCCACCTTAAGGTATAGATATCTTGAATTGCCAAATGTTTCTTAGTATTTTGAATTAAATCTTCACTGTCCATAGGTAAAAATAAGAAACTATTGTTCCATGTATATTTATAAGTTCCAGTTTCCATTTATTTATTATTCATACAAAGTAGCTACACTGGTGCTTATTTGCCACTGCCTGAATTGTCTGATTCAAGTGAACCTACAGAAAAAGGATTAACAACTTGGAAGGTGCACTCATTGACACTTGGTGATCCTGTGACTTGTTTTAGAATTATGTGAGAGCCACATTGAAGTAAGAAAGAGAAGCGCTGTTTCTGTTACTGTAATGGGTATTTATCCATTTGTTCAAGAAAGTTGTGTTGAGTAAGTCTTTGTGATTCTTGGCATTTTTAAACTTTGAAATATAAAGTATGCCAATCACAATGCTAAGCAGAACATATAAGGTAAATAAGAGTCTTTTCCTCAAGAATCCTTCAGGGATTGGTTTGTTTTGTTTGTTTCATTTTATTTTTATTTTTTTCTGTGCTGGGGTCAAATCCAGGGCCTTGCACATGCTAGGCAAGTGCTCTATTATTGAACTACACCTCCAGCCCTCTGGATTCTACCAGTTAATCAATGAAGGAAAAATATAGCTAAATAATTACTAAAGATAATGTCATTTTATTTCTCCATCCTTTGGAACAGCTAATATAATACAGAATTGATATGTTTTCCTTCCTTTTTAATTTCCTTCCTGTTATTGTGGTCTGATAGAGTGATCAAGTAATTACACTAGACACGTGGTTAGTAAGGAAGGGGGACGGGCAAGGGCTGGGGAGAGTACATGTGTATAAACTTTATATAGAATCAAAATTATTTTAGGAAATTCTAGAATCTGATCTGAAGTCATTATTTAAGTCTAGGTTGAAGAATATATTACTCCTGAAAAGTTTAAATACTGGGAAAAAATAGGAAATGAACTTGGATTTCATTATACTGCAAGTGGTCCTTTGGTGCGTTCTTCATATAAAGCAGGTAAGTTAAACTACAGAGAATGGTTTTATTTAGGCTGATAACTTCCCACCCTAAGTTCTACCCTAAATCTCTAAAGCTGTAAGGCAAATTGTAATAGCTGTGTTTGTCTTTTGTCAGAGGGAAAAGAGTGTTTTTTTCCTGGACCATCCTTTAGAGCTTTGCTCCATAGGGATCATATATTAAGAAGTTTCTCTTAAACCTAGTTTGTTCCTTAGCAAATCCCTCAGCCACTCTGATGAAAATAAGAACAGTTAGTTTATTTGATTATTCTGTCTGTGGATTTCAGTAGTAGATTATTCAGGAATGACAAAGTATGTCAAGCATATAATATGGTTTTCTGAAAATGTATATTCATTTGAAAATGATGCTTGCTGCATCCCCAGACTCCCAATTTCAGATCAATTTAAGCACTGAAATTTGATAGCATTGCTGTTTGCACTATTAATTTCTTTGTGCTTCCCCCTAGAGGTAACAACAACAACAAAAATTTGTACAATATTTTTCCTTAAAGAAAATTTTAATGGCTTTATTAGCTACAGTGCAGTTTTCACCTGTGGAATTCTGCACTTGTTTGATCAGTTGCTAAAAATGATTTATGAAAATAAAAGCATTTTCTAAGGGATAAAAAGTAAGTTGACACCAGGTACAGTGTGAGACATATGTTATCTCAACTACTTGGGAGGCTGATGTTAGAGGATCACAAATTAAAGGCCTGCCTGGGCAACTTAGAGAGACCTTGTTTCAAAAAAAAAAATTGTTTCTTTTTAAAGAAAAGGGCTGTTGATGTAGCTCAGTGGTAGAGTGTCTAGTGTGCCTAAGGCCCTGGGTTCAATCCCCAGGACTACAAAAAAAAAAAGTTATTTAATAGTGGTCATCAATAAGTCCATAAGAACGTATCGGAAGACTGAATGTAATCTTAAAAATGCAGATGTTTTTCCTGTTAGTTGGGCTTAACAATTAAATTATAATTGTTAAGAATAAGCAGCATGGGGCTGGGGATGTGGCTCAAGCGGTAGCGCGCTCGCCTGGAATGCGTGAGGCCCAGGTTCGATCCTCAGCACCACATACATACAAAAGATGTTGTGTCCGCCAAAAACTGAGAAATAAATATTAAAAAAAAAAAAAAGAATATTCACCTGAGGGCTGGGGTTGTAGCTCAGTGGTAAGTGCTTGCCTAGCATGTGTGAGGCCCTGGATTTGATCCCCATAAAAAATACTAAATAAAGGTATTGCGTCCATCTACAACTAAAAAAAAAAAAGTTTAAAAAAAACTGCTGGTGTTTTTTGAGATCTAAAATATGTTATTACTATTAATGTTCTTTTAAATGAGTATTTTGTAAATTGAGGTCTAAATATAGATGTTTAAATTAAGCATAAATTATATTTGAAAAAATTGGTGTTCAAGTATTAGTGATATCAGTGTTCCTATAAAAAATTAAGACATTTTCATGAATTAACAGTTTATCCTAGTTATTAAATGCTAAAGTTTGATTCAACAGTGACTGACAGGATGGGGCACTTTGAAAATCAGTAATTATGTGATTTAATCTTCAACCAAAACTACTGGCAAGCTAAAAATATGTATAAAGAATAGAACTAGCCAAGCATGGTGGCACATACCTATAATCCCAGAGACTCAGAAGGTTCAGATAGGAGGATCACAAGTTTGAGGCCAGTTTCAGCAATCTAGTTAGACCCTATCTCAAAATTAGAAATTTAAAAAGGGCTGGGGATGTACCTCATCGGTAAAGCATCCCCCCCCACCCCCCTACCCCGTTCAATCCCCAGTACCAAAAAAAGAAAAGAAAAAAAAACTACTATCAGCTTCTAGAATGATTAGAGTAATATAATTTAAAAGGTGTTTTTCTTTTTTTTTTTTTTTAAGGGAAAATAAAATTTCTAATATTTGAGGGAGTGAGTAAGGAACTTCTTTTTTCAAGGTGTTTTTTAAAAATTTTTAAAATTTTATTTATTTTATACGTGGTGCTAAGAATAGAATCCAGTGCCTCACACATGCTGGACAAATGTGCTATCGCTGAGCCATAGTCCCAGCCTGAGTAAGGAACTTTTAAAATGCTTTTTAAGTTGCCAGTAAAAGATTTGAGTTGTGTTACCTGGAGCATTATACTCAGGTGATGGATGAGAGCCTGATAATGTTGGTTCTTCTACCAGATTTAGATGAGGTATGGAGCAGCATTGATTACTTGGCTGGGTTGAATCCTGGGATTCCTGGTGATTGAGTTTGAATATGGTCATCACAGTTCTACTCATATATGTTGGATGACAAAGACATGTTAATCAGATTCCCTCCAGTGCTGAACTCTGCCGATAAGCATTGAGTTCTGCTATAAAAGTGATAAACTAAATGGAACCCTAATGGCCTGAAAAGTGAATGTGCCCCTCTAAACAGCTAACTTATTATGCAGGGGGTGGGGAGAAAGCCCATTATAAATGAAGAGTGCTCGCTTCCCTAGAGGGGAATAAGCTGAAGAGATTCCATCAGATGAGTGTGCTGAACTGCAACAAGGTCTGTTTTAAAAACATCAGATCCAGGCTAATAATGTAACAAAATTGCTCTCTGAAATGAATTTTGCCAACAGCAATTCTTTGTCAGTGATGAGGAATAGATAGTGCACACAAAATGGAATAAATATACAGAAGCAGACCCATAGATACAATAGGGTCACCCTTTATAATATTGAGTTATTAGAAAGAGTAATAGTTGAGAGGAAAGTGTGGTGGCACATGCAACTTGGGAAGCTGAGACAGGATTGCAGGTGCAAGGCTAACTTGGGCAACTTAGCTAGACCCTATCTTAAAATACAAAATAAAATGGCTCAGGGGGAGATAGCCCATTGATACAGCGCCCTTGGGTTCAATCCCTAGTATCAAAAAAAAAAAAAAAAAAAAAAGAAAAAAGAAAGAAAAGAAAGAAACTGATAGTTAAGACTATATGATATATTAAAATAAAAAAAAGACTGTTCTTTGTTGTTGGGAAAAAGAGCCAAAAATATAGGGAATACTTAGATTTAAAAAATAGTTTCTTTGAGATTGAAGAGAGAAAAATGCTGGTAAGTACAAATCTTCTTTATAATTTGTAGGGAAATCATAGAAGAATAATTCTGAAATAGTAGTTTTACTTTTATTAACTTTAAATTAATATTAATGTATTTTCATTTTCTTAAATAGGTGAATTTTTCCTGAAAAATCTAGTGGCTAAAAGAAAAACAAAAGCCCTCTAAAACTTGGACAAGACCTTCAAGATCACAGAAATTTTATTTTATTTTTTATGGTGCTGGGAATTGATTCCAGGGCCTTGTGTATGCAAGGCAAGCACATACAAACTGAGTTATATCCCCAGCCCTCGATCACAGAAATTTTAAAAATATATTTCCAGTTGGATCCTAAGTGGTGCCAGAATGCTTAAACTTCAGCGGATGCACCTTGATTTTTTTTTTTTGGTACTGGGGATTGAACTCAGGGAAACTCAACCACTGAGCTACATCCCCAGCCCTATTTTGTATTTTATTTAGAGACAGGGCCTCACTGAGTTGCTTAGTGCCTCAGCTAAATTGCTGAGGCTGGCTTTGAACTCACAATCCTACTGTCTCAGCCTTTCAAGCTGCAGGGATTACAGGCGAACTTTGACTTTTTTCTGTTTCAAGAGAAATGTTAGCAATCTGTATGTATTTAATTATGATAATTCATTTGGTTTTTAGCATACTTTCTTTATCTTAATAATTTCCTGCTAAATGTAATCAAAGCATTCTTGAAAGGGTTTGCTGCTAACCTTGTAACTTAAAAATATATTAAAAACTTTCAATAGATATTTTTAAGTCATTGATAGCCTATATGTCATTGTTGCACTTCATTATGAAGAATGAATACATAAAATTTCATTTATGGTACTGTAATGAAACAGTAAACATAGATTGAGACTGTGGTTAATTTACTTATGAATAGCATATGACCTTTACCTAATATAATATAAATAATAATCTAGCACCAGTGGAATAACTTAGGAAAGCTTTAGAGTTTGAATGTTTCACCTTGATATGGATAATTCAGACCCTGTAAAATAGTTATGTACTGACAACTTGTTTAATACCTGTATGACACTAAGACCGTTTTTGTCAGAGACAAAGAAATTTAATCTAAGAAATATTGACCCTTATTATGTATAGTAACTTGCTACATCTGCATGTACTGTTGTATTTATTCCTCATACTACTTTGATGAAGTGCTTGTATTAAATAATAGTAATGATCTGAAGAAAGAATTCTTTCCAAAATACTAATATATAATTCATCATTGGACTGCTTTTTGTTGTTGTTTTCTTTTGGTCTTTTGCAGTACTGAAAACTGAACCTAGAGGTACTTTATCACTAAGCTATCCTCAAAATTTTTTAAATTTGAGACAGGATCTTGCTAAATTGTTCAGACTGGCCTCAAACATGTGATCCTCCTGCCTCAGTCTCCCAAGTACTGGACCACCATGCCTGGCCCATCTTTTGCAGTCCCAAAATATTTTCCAGTTAAACCTAATCCAGAAACTTGAATGAGGAGTAGCAGAACCAATTTTATTTGTACCAGGGATGCTTAACCACTGAGATACATCCCCTCCCCTTTTCTATATTTTATTTACAGAGAGAGTCTCGCTAAGTTGCTGAGGCTGGCTTTGAACTTGGTGATCCTCCTGTCTCAGTCTCCCAAGCCGCTGGAATTTTAGGTGTACACAACTACACTCAACTAAAATGTTTGTTTCAAAATGGAATCATAACTGGGCTGGGTGGTGCACGCCTATAATCCCAGCAGCTCAGGAGGCTGAGGTAAGAGGATCTTGAGTTCAAAGCCAGCCTCAGCAATGGCGAGGCACTAAGCAATTCACTGAGACCCTTTCTCTAAATAAAATACAAAATAGGGCTGGGGATGTGGCTTAGTGATCAAGTGCCCCTGAGTTCAATCTCTGGTACCAAATTTAAAAAAAAATGTAATCATAGATAGTATTATTTTGATGTATTATTCTTTCACTTTTTATTGCATTATTGACCATTATACCATGACTAAAATGTGTATGACCAAATGCCTGGGTGTTGCTGGACATTTAAGTGTGGTGAACATGTGCCGTAGAGGTGTACTCCCTTTCACAACTATGTGAGGATAGTCAGACTTGAATTGTACAAAAGGCCAGAACAGAGCTTTTGACCTTCATAAAAAGTGACACATGGATGCATTTATATGAAATGCATTTAAATGACCAGACTTGGCAGGGAAAAAAAAAAAACCTGGCAGCACACGTTAATGCCCTGGTGCTCTCTAATCTATTAAAATTCGGTATATGACATATTTCAGTATGTATGATTTTTCTTTCCATAGGACAATGACATGTTTTTTTAAAAAAATTAAAGTGATAAATACATATGGTTTTAAAAAATGTGATGCAGAACAACACTTATTGCTCTAGTTCTCTCCATATGGCTGTCTCGATTTCTTTTTTTTTTTTTTAATTTTAATATTTATTTTTTAGTTTTTGGCGGACACAACATCTTTGTATGTGGTGCTGAGAATCGAACCCAGGCCGCACGCATGCCAGGCGGGCGCGCTACCTCTAGAGCCACATCCCCAGCCCCCTGTCTCGATTTCTTTAGAGAAAAAAACACTCCTCATCCTGCCTTTTTTTCTATCCTGGGGCTAAGAGATGGGGTTGCGTCATGGGTATAAATGCCAGGCTGCTTGACGTCACCCTGCCTATAGGGTTAGGTGAGATGAGGTTGAATGTTCAATTTAACCACAGCTGAGCCCTTCGTTTATGCCTCCTCTCTGCTTTTGGGGAGGCAGGTAGAGCCTCTGCTGTTCTGCTAGCCAGGTCCTCCTCCTCTGTCCATCACACCAGTTCTGGAAGTAGCTTCCTCAGCTCTTTTTTAGTATACACATCCATGTATCTGATGCTTTCCAGAAATGTCTTGAAATCTCCTGATCACCAGTGGCCCACTCCTGTACTTTGTTTTAATGAATTATGTTTTCCCCTACCGGCCACCTCAACCCCTTGCTATTTATATTTGTAATGTGGTCCTTCAAAGGAAAAGGCTATAAATGTGCTCAGTATGCCATATTGATTACCAAGAACTCCACTTGTTGCCTTTTTAATATTAGCTTTGTAGATAGTTTTACATATAGTATTATCTGTATGTGTATATATGTACTTATATTTACATAAATCATTTCAGGATTCCTGTAGTAGCACCTCTTGTTGAGCTGCTTGGAACACAGTTTGAAAATCATTATTAGATAGCAGGTGACATTTGAGTATGTTTTGTTATGATGTAGGCTTGGGTCACTAGTCTCAGTAAAACTAAATTCCAGGGCTGGGGATGTGGCTCAAGTGGTAGCGCGCTCGCCTGGCATGCGTGCCGCCAGGGTTCGATCCTCAGCACCACATACAAAAACAAAAGATGTTATGTCCGCCGAGAACTGGAAAATAAATATTAAAAAATTCTCTCTCTCTCTCACTCTCCCTCTTTCTTAAAAAAACAAACAAACAAACTAAATTCCCTCATAATTCCCTAAGCTTTGTGTTACTACTTAAAATAATGTCACCTACTACTGTGTTTCCTAAATTCCAGTTACTCACGTACAGCCTTCATAGTGTTTGCTTCATTTGGGTGGGAACTATAGTATTATATACTCCTTTTTAAAAATAATTAAAATTTAAAACACTTTAAATCCCTTTAAAGTGAAACTAAATGAAGCCCAAATTCAGCCGAGAGGTCAAGCCCTTCACAATCCTTTCTTCACCAGCTCTTCCTCCTCATTCTCCCTATAACTCCAGACAAAACCAGCCTGAACTTTCCTGCCTTCAACGTTTGGCTCCTATTGCTTCTTTCACTGATGTGCCCATTCTCCTCCCGCTGCCCTATTAAGATCTGTTCAGATCCACCTCAGATGCCTTCCTGCCTCCATAAAGGGAAATTTGCTAAGGGCATTATCCTTGACAGAAATAAGCCCATCCTTGGATTAGAAGGTGGGGATGCATATCTGACTACCAGGGCTATTAGGAAGATTAGGAAAAAAATGTTGCAACCAACAAGATCGCCCTCACCTTTGTTTAGTGTTTACTGTGTACTAGGCCCTGTGCCAAGGGTATTACATGCATTACTAATGTAATCCTTACAAATTTCTGAAATATGTACTATGTTATTCTTGAATTATATATGGAAAAATGGACACTTGAGAAAGGTTGAATGGGTCAAACTTTCATTGCTACTAACTGTCAAAACCCAGATTCAAACTTGGGTCTCCAAGTGGCAGCTATCATTGTCATAATAGTTGATACAGATAGGAATTATCAGAAGCTGATATCAGTGGATAAAAGTTTGAAGAGTAACAATTTGATAGTCTCCAACTCTCTGCTTACCATAGAGGTAATTACAAAGGGCAAAATCATTCTGCAACAGAGAAACCTGCCAGATACCACCTTAAATGACAAAGTAACATCACCAGAATGGAGCATGTTGATCTCCTATACTTCTTGGTATGGAAGTGTCAAAGACAGGAGATCACTTATGTGAGCCAGATGGCTTTGGAGGCTGAGGTAGGAGTATTGCAAGTACATTCTTTGAACTCAGCAACTTAGCAAGGCTATAAGCAACTTAAAGACTGTTTCAAAATATAAAAGGGGGCTGAGGATGTAGCTCAGTGGTTAAGCAAACCTGGGTTCAATCCCTGGTGCACACATACACAAAAAAAAATTTATTTGGCTTTTTATCATGCCCATGTATTATTTTCAATTTTAAGTATTAGTTAATAATCTCACCAATATCACTCTCACCAAAATAAATTTTTAAAAATCTAGCTAATAGAAACTTTGAATCATTTTTAAAAAATCATCTTAATTCTCCTAGTAGGGGACAAGAAGGCTAACCCTAACCTTGCAACTTTTCACAAACATTGCTGTGTTAAATAACATGCCCAGTTACTGGTTTTTTTCCCTCCCCATTACAAACAGCAAGCTTACAAGGCTGTGTCATTTCTTTCTTTCTCTCTCTCTCTCTCTCTCTCTCTCTCTCTCTCTCTCTCTCTCTCCCCCCCTCCCTCCCTCTCGACTTTGTGCATGTGACACAAGCACTCTACCAACTGAGCTACATCCCCAGCCCCTCTATCAGCTCTCTTTTGCCCATTTTCCTCTACTTACCAATTCTTCTACCTTTTAATCAGTAACTATATTTCACTTGTATTACTTCTCTGTTCTAGGCACTGAAGCATCCTGCAAAACAAGTGCTTTATCCTATCTGCTTTAGCAAGACTCTCTAGGTTTATAATCCCTTTACTAGCATTTAAAATCATTAAGCAAGACACATGAATATTTTTAAGCACAAATGTAAAGCAAAATTCTAATAAGCTTTTAAAGCCTTAAGAATAAAGGCTTATCTTATGGTCTTCAAACTCAACTGATGTCTTTCTCAGAGGTCTGCAAACTTTCCCTTCCTTCCTCTCTTTTTCCCTTCATCCCTCCTTCCCTTCATTCCTTGCTTCCTTTTCTTTTACTTGTCCCAGGGGTGCTCTACCTCTTAGCTACAGATCTCACAAAATTGCCAAGCCTGGTCTTGAACTTGCTATCCTTAGCCTCCTGAGTAGTTGGGATTACAGGAGTGTGCTACATACTTTTTCTTAAAGGGCTAGACAGCAAATATTTGTATGCTTTGTGGGCCAAGAGGCAAATTTGAGGATATTATGTAGGGACTTATATAACCATTTAAAAATTAACTGTGTAAAACCATTCTTAGCTCCCATATGGCTGGCCCGATTGTGATTATTCTTTGCCAATGCCTGCTTTATTGGTAAATCCCCTCCCTTTCTTGCATCATTTGAAAGAATGATGTAATTCCTTTTTCTTTAAAAAGTGATGAGTCATTTTTTTTCTCACCTGTTGAATCACCATGACTCATTTGTTCGTCTACCATGACAAAAATTATACCCACACGGTAGTTGATGTCTAATTTATATATTTGTTATCTGTACAGATGTTTCTGTCCTCATCTTTACATTTGACTCCCTCATCTTATTGAACCCCCAAATGTTCAGACCTATGTATGTTTAACACAGTTTGCACATTCTGAGCAGAGCACAATGTATATGACATCAAATGTATATACTACACACTTTCATAATGATCAAAACAACCATTGCAGATATAAAAGTCAACAAGAAACAGGAAAAAAGCGGATAGGAATACACACAAAAATTCTTGTTTTTGAATGATGCTATTTGTAATTTGTAAAATCTTTTCATTTTTATATATGAAGTTATATTATTTTTACTTAA